AATTGGTAACATACAAAAAACAAGCGTTTTCGAGGATGCATACCTTGCGCAGGTTGTGTGATAACTTTAGGCGACTGCACATTTCTCGGCTGAGCGTTGTTAGCAACGGCCACCAAGGAATGCAGATTCTGCAAGTTCAAGGTCGAAATCCTGGTAGAACCTAGAATGTTCGCGGTAAAACGGCAGGTGCGGTGGCAACTGAAAGCCTACTTATGGTACCAGTGGTTGAGTTGTGGTTATTCTTGTTGCTGGGATCGAACCCAAAACCTGAGAAGAAAAATGTAGTTTAAATATGTATTAATTTATATATAGGGCGTTCCAAAAGAGCATGTCAATCCCTCGTATGCATAAACAAGGTCTTTCGCAAAGTAAACAGGACTTTTGAAAGATATCCTATACAAGTAGCGCCATCTATTATGGGATAGGTACATCTTTCATGGATGCCCTGTCAAAATTCCATCACAATCGAACCACTTCACGCGGAGTTATCGCGCTCAAAGTGACAGTACCATTTTGAAGGACCTTCCGGTCAATGAGCTGAATCATCATTCGAAAACCTTTTGTCCGTGCAAATCGATGTATTAAATCTGAAGGAGACTATTCGATGGAAAATAAATTTACGCAGAGATGACAGAGAGTACACATTCGGTATCGAGTAATCGGACAGCGCGCGACGCGATAGTCCAGTCGACATGGCAATAAATTTGTCATAAATTAGTTACAAGTGTTACAAATTAGTGTAAAAGTAATAAAATAGACTTTAAACAGTGAAAAAGTATTCGCGTTACACAATGAAAAAATGTTCAACGTGGCTCCCCTATGAAGATACCGGTATGTAAAGGAAACTACTGGGACTAGGTTTTCCCAAATAAGTTTTGAATGACATTGTACAATGGGAACAATGTTTTTATTTTCCGTTTTTTCTGTGTTCTGACCATTTGAGCACTTCATCTATGTGTGCTTCAAGAAACTGATATGGCCTTACATGGTAGAGTCCATATAAAATAACTCATTGCCAGGGTCAGACCCACCACCACACAATAGATCATTTTCATATGAGTCACAACCTGATCTCCTATTTGTTGGAGGAAAAACAAAAACGGATTACCATTTAGTTTATATTGCTAAAGATTTTTAGGACCTGTATCATAATGGCCAAATGATAACATACATTATTGGGAAGCCAAATATTTAAGCTGTAAAAATGTGTCCTTGTTTGAATCGATAATACGAGAAAAACCCTCAGTAGCGTCCTGTGGATTCAGGAGCCAGGTACAGGATAGAGGTTTCACCATTTTGGACATATATCAGTTCTCACCACATATACTTACTGTAGATGGTTGAGAAGTAGAGACAGTAGACAATCTCATACCAGAAGTAAGCACAGTAGTTTGAGGAGCGACAAGTCGAGTACAAGATTGAGTCACATTCACTGGCATTGTCAACCGAGCACCTGATGCTTGACTCTGAAAATAATGTAATTTTCAAATAAGTAAGTTACTTGCACTGTTTTTAGATTCATCTTATAGACCAATTCATAACTTCATCAGAAGCATAGCAATATGGCAGTTGTGAACGTTTCCATCACATTTTCCTATTCTTATCTTGGTCTGAGTCATTAGTTTGAAATTGAATATCATTTGTATGTGATAAATCTTTGGATAAGGTTAGGCAATTTAAAAGTAGTCTAATCATATTAGACAAAAATACCCCAGATTTGCGAAATAATTGTAAAGTCTGGTTTTATTGCTGCAAGTAGTTCAAGGTTGTATTCAAAACATGGAAAACTTTTTATTTGAAAACAATGAACAAGAAAACGTGTTTTTGGGGATTAAATCGAAACTCTTAATATAAGATTTTTATGTATTTAAGAGACCTACAAAATGAGAGCACACGTAAAAAGATCGGACTAATAGCAAAATGGCCGAAAACCGAGGCATACTGCAGGTTTTGGCACTTGTTGGTAGTGCGATGATGGTTCCTCGCAGATATTTGAAATTATTGAAATTCGTAGATTTCGTACTTCTAAATAACTACAACAAAATTGGAGTAGATTGGTCAAGTATCTTTTTAGAATTTCTAATTGTTTATCCCAAAACACCTATTTTCCGGCCATCACTACTATTTTATTGAGCAATATACAGGGTTAGCTTAAAGGGCATTTTATGGCAAAATACACTAGTTTACCTTGCTGAATCGCAAACCATTCCGGAAGATAAATGTTATTCGTATGCAAAAAAGGATGAGTTACGTTGTTTCTTCTAAACAAATTCAAACATTTCGTATTTGTGAGTAATGCGCATCAAAAGATGATGGACACATCCGCTTTGTTTTAAAATGTTCAATTACTCACAAATATGAAATGTTTGAATTTGTTTAGAAGAAAAAAACGTAACCTTTATTTGTCGCATAAAAATAACATTTATTTTTTGGAATGGTTTGTGATTCATATCATAGGTAAACACGTGTATTTTGCTATTAAATGCTCTTTAGACGAACCTTGTATATTGCTCAGTAAACTAATACAGATGGCCGGAAGACAGGTGTTTTGGGATAAACAATTCGAAATTCTCAAAAACTACTTGATCAATATAATCCAATTTTGTTCTTGTTATTTAGAAGCATGAATCCTAGGGATTTGAAGAATTTCAAGTAGTTGCGTGAAATTATCGTCGCATTACCAACAAGTGGCAAAACTTGCATTTTGCCTTGTTTTTCGGTCATTACATTTTGCTATTAGTCGGATCTTTTTACGTGTGGTCTCATTTTGAACGTCTCATAAATATCTAAAAATCTTATACGAAAAGTTATTTTGTTCCTTACAACACTTTCGATTGCATCCCAAAAAACACGTTTTCTCATTTTTTGTTGTCAAATAAAAAGTTTTCCCACAAAAATTGGTGTACCCATTTTATGCGTCCATGTTTTAAATACCCCCTTGAATAACTTGCAAAAATAAAACCAGACATTACAATTATTTCAGGGAAATTTCCTAACAAGATTAGACTAAAGTCAGTCAGTTTAAAATAAATATTTGTGCATACGATTTTCGGATCGGCAAAAGGGAGTATGTTTAGTAAACAACAACTTGAGCGATACGAAAAATCGCCGCCGATGTGATTCGAACCCGCATCTCCTCCATTCCGTGGACAGCTCCGCCTGCTAACACACTTTCAGTATCTAAGAGGCAAATTCAATCCTACCCACGCCGCGGTTCATTTGTTCTCTCATGCTGCCTTGGTGCCCACCTGGCGGCGTCCAAGTGAAACACAACCAGATTGGTAAGGTATCTCCAATCGCTTTCTAGCTTGCACCACGCCGCCTCGTGGGCACACACCACGGTACCACGGTGTGAGGACAGTAAACTGTATATGGTTTTTCCAATGAGCGCATCAGCTGTCTGACTGTGAAAAACATTTTTATTACAACATTTTGCCGCATTTTAAATCTTACAACAAAACTTACTGTTATTCTGGTCTGTGGCAGCCTTTGAGCTGCCAGAGTAGTGTTGGACACTGTGATCCTTGTGGTGGGTGTGAACTGTGAAGTATTTGCAGTGTAGACAACAGCTTGAGTGCGGTTTGGCAATACTTGAGCCACAGTGGTGCCCAAAGCTTGGATTGTAGCAGCAGCAGGTTTGAAAGGCTGCATCTATAAATGTGAAAATTCAGTTACAATGCTTAGATTTGAATACACAACAATTTTTTGACTAACTCAATGATCATATGTGTAAGATACTTTTCCGAGTATGCAACACCCTAATGTGTCAATCTATCATCAGGATGCTCACAAGCTGAAAAATGAGGAAGGGAAAATTAGTAAAAAATGAGTACTTTTGGAATTTTTTCTGATCATTCCATTGATATGAATGAACCTGCTTCATTGTTATATTACTGACAATTGGAAATTGAAGACCAGAGGCGATGTTCAACTTAAGCAGCACTTATGAAAGTGGGGTTGTTGAAATAATTAAAGAGCAGGGGTGGGTTTCTTCCAGCTCACGTGATGCATCAAACATTGATTGTTCAATTAATTGGAACACTTTAGCTACCTGAGCCTCTTTTGTGAAATCTCAAAATAATGAAAAAATGAGAATCAAAGGACAAAATGAGAAAGCAAAAATATAAATGATATGTATGAGTCTTTGCTTCTTAAAACAGTATTTTAACAGGTGGGCTGAAAAGTTTTTAAGCTAGCATAGAAAAAAATTTTTTTGATAGAATTTGATTTTATTATTCAATATAGTTCCCTTCGAGGGCGATACAACGATTATAGCGTCCATACAATTTTTCGATGGCATTTTTATAATACTGTCTTTAGCCTCAAAATAGGCTTCAGTTTCGGCGATTACCTCTTCATCGGCGCGAAATTTCTGTCCAGCGAGCATCCTCTTGAGGTCTGAGAACAGAAAAAAGTCGCTGGGGGGAGATCTAGAGAGTACGGTGGATGCAAAAGCAATTCGAAGCCCAATTCATTTGTAACACAGTGCATTGTCTTGATGAAACAGCACTTTTTTTGCCAGCCGACTTTTGCGTCTTTCCACGCTTTGGAGTCGGTTCATCTCGTGCAGCTCACTCGACTGACTGCCGATTGGACTCCGGTGTAAAATGATGGAGACATGTTTCATCCATCGTCACATATCGGCATATCGACGCAAAAATTCGAATTTATTACGATTGAACAGCTCCAAACACTGCTTAGAATCATCAATTCGTTGTTGTTTTTGGTCGATTATGAGCTCGCGCGGCACTCACTTTGAACAATATGACCAACAGGTTCCTTTGATATCTTTAGGATCTCAGCTATCTCAATCAACTTCACTTTATGGATATCAAAAATTAATTTGTGGACTTTTTCGATGTTTGGCGAACCACTTCACTACGGTAGATTTTCCTGGGGCAAAGTCCGAATAATGTTTATCAAGCCAAGCCTTGGTTTCAACAGTATTTTTTTCGCCAAAAAGCAATGCTTTATTAACACACGAAATTCCTTTTTATCCATTTTTTCAAAGTAACAAAAGTTCTTTCACTAATAATGCTATAACTCAGATACTAATAGTGCAACAGCTGTCAAATTTATACATGCATCTTTTAACGGTTAGGGCTAACTGAAAATCATATGGATTTGATACTATTAGCACCATCTATGTGCCAGTATACGAAATTTTCAGCCTGCCTGTTAAAATCAACAACATAAGTATATCTGAAGCTTACTTTCAATAATAGTGAAATATAGAACAAAAAATAGTCACCTGTCCTGTCACTCCTGACGGTCCGATAGTGATTGTACTTTGCAAAATTGTATTTGGCCTTATGGAAGATATCCCTGAAGATATTTGGGGTCCTTGTGTCCTGGCTATAATCTGAGGCTTTCCTGTGACTACAGTACCTTTTACAGGAGCGCTTAAAACTGTTGGTGTGCCTTTAATCTAGAATGAATAAGTGACAATAGGACAAAAAGGAACACTTGCAATAAAGAAAATAAATTCTAATAAGATACAATAACAGGTAAGAGATTAACTTGCAAATATTTGTGAATACAAGAAAATCTTCAGCAACCTTCAAGTTATGCTGCATAAAATCTATTTACACTGTTTTCACTTTGTTCTTTTAAAATAGAAATCACATGCTATATTTTTTCTTTGACTTAATTATTCTGTAAAATAATCTTACTTGAGATCCATTCTGTGTGTTAGTAAGCCATGTGGTCCCTTGTCCAGCAGTAGGGGGCCTTTGTGGCCTGACAAAAGCATGTGGTTGACTACCCTGTGCAGTGACAACCATCGGAGCTCTTACTGTAGTCACATTGCTTCTTGGAGCAGCCAAGTTCGCTACCACTGCAGGCCCCCTTGGAACATGGTATGAGGTACCTGTTGTACTCTGTGCTATCAGAGGAGTTGTTGGAGAGAAAGTAATCTGTGTAGGTCTGCTTAGATTACCAGATGTCAGAGATTGAGAAGTGGTTGTTGGGGTTCTTGAATCTACAATAAAATAGAACAGTATGTAAGAACATAGAAGATTATAGTTCGTTCAAACCTCATTTTGCCCCATCACAACAAACACCTAAATTCTAATTCATGCACTCCTATTGGCCTGCAGGCAAGTTTATTGCAATCTGTCTTGAAAATAGTATAAACATTCAACAATATATGCGACATTAATTTATAGGGACATGGATTAAATGTGGTTTGGTTAAACTATAACACTCTCAAGTATTTGGGCAATAATTAAGAATAGTAGATGCATGAGGATAGAAGAAACACCTTTATTATTATTGTTAAGGGCTACTTGACAATGTAAGAGGTTAAGATACAATCCTAGTAGCTCCATATCTACAACTTTGACTAAAAGCTAACTATGTTGAGCTTCAGCTTATAAGCATGTTTTGACATACTTACCAACAGGTTTGAGCACTGCTTGTGAAATGAGATTGGTGGTGATAATAGCATTCCCAAGGGCAACGGTATTAGGATTTGAGACACTTTGGGACAACACTCTAACGCCTCTCAGGGACTGGCTACTCATGACCAATGGAGGTTTGCTTTCTACTGTTTTCACAGTGGTTATTTGGCTTTTCGCGAGGTCCAAGGGGACTGCCTTAGATGCCTCTTTCTCGTCCTCACTATTATTCATCTTTGCACCGGAGTTTTTGCTTATAATTCAAAAAAGCATCTGGGCATTCAGAAGAAAAATGATGACGCTAGGCAAAACTACTGTCCAAGATCAACATACTGAGCAAAAGTTATAAGTTGATGAAAAGAACCATTCAGCTTTTCAAGAGCAACACTTTTGCACATAATGAACTAGTTTAAAACTCGAAATTTTAAGTAAATTATACTACCTAATGGCGATATAAAATAAATTGAAATAGCCATGAAACTTGCAATTCTGACGCAGTAAGATTTGGCAATGCAGCAAAGACCAACCAATCAGATTTGAAACCCTACTCCTAAAATTTTTATTTTTATGAATTAATTGTTCCAAGTAACAAATGCACTATTGCGTACTCTCTCTTTTATCATTTGTTAAAGTGAGACAGATATAGACCAAAAGCTATACTCCTTGTAACTATGGCACTCTGTGCTATGGCAACATAGCTGCTACCACCACAAAACTCTCAGTGTCACAAAATGCCATACTCTCTGTTCTGTGGTGCACATCGTGTGGGGATGGGCGGTTATTGATAAAAAATGGTTTATTGGTTAATAAGTTATTTTTTCATTAACTTTCACCCGCATTGATTAACCAAAGCGGACATGACCGTGTTCGAAACTCACTGTTCTAGTTCATACTAAAATTTGCTCCCAAAAGAAAATAAAACAGTGTCTCGTGCTATTTCTCAATGAAAAATGTTCCTTCATTTCTTTGAACTATCCCGCAATAGAAGATCATGATAAAAATGAATATGAAAAATGGTTGTATGCAATTCCACAAGCAATCACTGTAAAATTTAACACTATTGACAATATATTGATAACATGACAACGCTGGCACCAGCTCCTTCGTCCGTACGATGTTTTTGCACCCCAGTACAAAACTAGTTCAAAGGACGAATATAAAAAAATGGATTTATAAACCGGATAGGATAGTTTCGTCAAAGCGCTTGGTTACATACAAGGAAATCATGACCAGTGTCGTAGATTGAACACTTGTGTCGTACATCAGTCTGGTACTATAGAGCTTATATACCGGAGGCTGTGCTGGTAGTATCTACATCCTGCATATTCATACACGAAAACAAGATAAAGACAACGAGTGCAAAGTCAAGGCTGCGAAGTTTTCCGACAGCAAAAACAACACTGTCATGCTATCCAGGGAACCCATATTCATGATGACTTTTTCTAGACAAGAAACAAAAATAACCTTTGTTTCTGATTTTGAACTGTTTGACCCGATAACCGTTTAACCGTACTTTATGAAACAAACGGTTAATCAAATTCAAAAACCGGCTATTTAATTAACCGTTTGTTTTTGGCCATCCCTACGCTATTGACTTGTCGTCATAATAAGTCAGTGTAATTAAATGTTTTGTGCAGTGGTGCAGTTGTATTCTGTTTCTGTTTCTATGTTCAATACTTCTATACTCAGTATAGTACATATATGTATAGGTTTTGTGTTCTATACAGTATATATTTTGTGTGTTCTGAATTTCTATGTTTTGTGCTCGTAACGTCATATCTACAAAAACGTGTTTACTAATTTTTATTTTATTCCTAAAGTAAAAAGGCGGCTTAAAATCGAATATCTGTTGACTATGTCTGGGCTGTTCGATGATGATTGTGGTGCAGAAGTGCAAATCAAAACTGATAATGAATACGCAAAGAATTATAATACATGGAGAAAGAAAGAAGAATTGAACAGATGTATGTTTGAATTAAAAATTATTCGAGTACCCCCCTAAAACTTAAATTTGAACACCTTTCAGTGAAAACGAAGTATGGAGATGATGTAGAACTGAGCGACGAATCATCGAGCTCATCAGACGACGAGGATGGAGTTGAATTAACAGAGCAGTTAGAGAAAGATTTTTTCAAAACCCTGGCTTGCTTAAAAAGCAAAGATCCTAGAATATACGATAAAAACGCGACCTTTTTCACAGATGAAATTGTAGGAACAACATCCGTGAAAGTGACAAAGGTACAAAATAATAAACAGCCAAAAGTTATTATAGCAGTAATAGCAATATCTGTAGCATCATGTCGATCATAAAATACACTTTTACCAGATGTTTGAATCACTCTCCTTCTAGGTAAAGGATCAGCCTATGTTTTTGAAAGACTATGAAAGAAAGCTGATACTAGAAAAGGGAGGTGTGTTAAGTGATGAAGAAAATGAGATAGAAAGGCCTAAATCACCAACATACGTTGAGGAACAAAATCAGATCAAGGACAGTTTGAAAAAAGCTTTGGATGAAGTTGACGACAATGATAATGAATGGGGAGGTAAAATATTTTAGTTTCATAGTGAATGGTATTGAAAAATTCTGTTGATTTCTCAATGTGGCTATATACTTGAGAGTTATTTTTGATAATATTGTATTATCTCCTACTTTGGCAGGACTATTTAAACAGAGAACTAAAACCAAGGAAGACAAGGACAAAGAAGAAACAGACTACATACAATGGTTAGCAGGTCAGAAAAAAGAATTGAAAGATAAGAAAGAAGAAAAGCAACTGAAGCCACTCAAAGATTATTGGAACAAGCCTAACCTTGATGAAGGTGAAAAGTTTTTGAGAGATTATATTTTGAATAAAAGGTAATAGCTTTGAATAGTAACAAATCTTCATTTGATGGTGTCTTGGTCCTCGACTGAGTTTCTATTAGAGTAATTCATACCCTAAACCTGTTACCTGTAATCCTTTTTTTGTAGGTTTCTTGATCATTATAATGATGAATATGTCCCAACATATGAAGAAATTGTTCATGGTACTGATGAGCTATCAAATGACGAAGAAACTATTGAGAAACAGGAAGAATTTGAGCACAAATATAACTTTAGATTTGAGGAACCTGACCAAGAATTTGTAAGTGGTAAACTAAGTTCTTTCTTTAACACCAAATAAAACACAAATGCTGTTAAGTATCTTGATATAGTTTCTTATTTTAGATCAAAAGGTATCCAAGGACAATGGAAAACTCACTGAGAAAAAAAGATGACAGAAGGAAAGTAAAGAGACAAGAGTTGAAAGAGAGAAAAAAGAAGGAGAAGGAAGAAAAAATGCAAGATTTGAAGAAGCTGCAGGAACTGAAGAGAAAGGAGATTGAAGAGAAATTGGAAAAGCTGAAAGAAATTACTGGAAATCCTTCTATTGGCTTTGGTGTAAGATACTAATTTCCTTTAATTTTCAATGGATCTTTCTACATTATTTTTTTTTTTAGGATGATGATCTAGATGGAGATTTTGATCCTGAAGAACATGACAGGAAGATGCAAGCTTTATTCAACGATGAGTTTTACCAAGGGCCAGAAGGAGATCAGAAACCTCAATTTCCAGATTTGGATGAAGAATTAGAAATTGGTAAGACGCATGGTTCTAGGAATGTTGATCAGCATTTTGTTAAACTATTATTGTGTCTTTCTTGTACTGATAATATTTAATTTTCAGAGAACTGGGAGAAATATCAAGGTGCTAGCAATGAAAATGCTGAATATGAACCCCATTGTGAAGATGAAGACTTCAATGTAAGTTAATTTTGAGTAATATATACATGCTAACAGTAATTACACACAACGCGGGCGTGGTGATGATTTCCCGTAATTTTCCTCAGTTTTTGTAATTTATAACTTTGAACATAACATCTCTTCAGAAAGCACAACATAAAAATAACCCGTCGGGCACAGCCAATAGATATACTTCAATGGCAGCATATTCAGGAATGATTTTCTCACACAGGAAATATCACTGATTTTATATATATACATGTAGACAAATACACGTAATCATCTGAATGCGATCTTGCTATCAACCAACTTTCTACGCACAGATAAAAACTACAGTCGAGGACCATTTATTGGCCTCACAGAACATATGCAACCAATAATGCGTGTAGCTTAGTTGAGTGATTCCCCCTTAGATGGACGTTCACAACGATCCTAGTGAGCAAACGTGGAATGACTGTTTGCGCCCTAAAAACTACCTAGTTTGCAAGATGACATCTTATAGGTTTTTTTTACGTTTTATAGGTTTTTTACATGATACCCATGCCGGTAATTATACTCACCTATTAGCTATATTTCACACATCATGGGTTTCCCCATACATTTGTCATTAAAGCTTGATAGTGACATTTTTTCGATATCGATCTCTATCTGCTTGATTATACTGCTCATACTACGGGGGTGACAACGTTGCCAGCTGTGCGGTAACTACCGATAGGGCAGCGAAGGAATATCTATAGAGAGGATTTAACTTGTGCTTAACTTAATCCTTTATCAAATGATGGCGGCATTATGTAGGAAGTGCAGTGTTAATATTTTTTTCAGATGGATTGCGAGTATGACCCTAGTGCAAGCACCCAAGAAGAACTCATTGAAAGCACAAAGTCAAAAAAGAAGAGGAAAAGAAAATCCAAATTTGCTGAGGCTATGAGCAGGCCGAAACCAAAGTTTGATCCCAATGATAAGAACTATGAAGAATATTTTGAAGAGTATTACAAACTGGATTGTGAAGATATCATTGGAGACTTGCCATGTAGATTCAAGTATAGACAGGTTGCACGTAATGATTTTGGACTCACCATTGAAGAGGTAAGATTATGACATAGACAAGATTTCTTTATAGAAAAATACTGTGGTTAGTGGACTTCAGAAGAGATTAAAATATATTTTTTGTTTTATATCAATAAAAATTGTTACAGATTATCTTAGCAAAAGAAAGGGAACTCAACAAATGGTGTTCATTGAAAAAAGCTGTTCAGATCCGGCCGGATCATGTTGAAAAATATGATCAGATAGCTTACAAGAAAAAAGCTCAAAATATTAATTTGAAAAAGAAAATTCTACCCAGTCTTTTTGGCGAGGGTGATGAAGAAACAGATCCCCAAAACAAAGGAGGTCAGAATACTGAAAAAAATATTACAAAAAATGCTGAATTCAACAAGATTGAGAACTGTCCCGAAAAAAAGGTGGAGGACAAAAACGTGAAAAAGTCTAAGAAAAAGCAACATATATCTGAAGAGCTACCAAAAACAACTACAGATGATAAGCGTGAAGATACACTCTCAAAAATAGCAGAACATTCAGCAGCAGTTGAGAATGGGGGAACGGTTCAGAAGAAAAAGAAAAAAGTGAAAAATGGAAACAAAAAAGTTCAATGTGCAGAAGGAAATGTAAATCTGAAAACAGATGACAATAATACTGCAATTGAAATAGATTGTAAGAAACATAAAAGGCAGAAAAATAATAAGAAACTGGATGCTGATGTAGGCAGTACAAATGCACAGAGTGTTCATAGTAGTAAAGAGGCGAATCCAAAGAAAATGAAAAAACGTAAACGTAAAGGCGTTGTCAGTAGCGAAGTGCCATCAAAGAAATCCAAAAGTGTGGATGAAACAGAAAACCCTGTTGCAAAAATATCAGATGCTAGGTTAGCGGCGTTTGGAATCAATCCAAAGAAGTTTAAAAACAAGCTGAAGTACAAAAAATAGTTGTATGTATGCATGTTTTTCTTTGAAATATACAGGGTGTCCCATGTAGAACTGTAGCAATCAATTACTCAAGAAGTTGATGTAGATAATTATGAAAACTTGGGGTTGTGGTATAACTTATGTAAGTACCAATTTGCTTATTTCAATTATAATTTTTGAAATATTTCCAAAACTTAAAATCCATTTCATATATAACATCACATTTTTAATTAACCCTTTATTTAACAAATATTTTGTGTAAGATATCGCAAATGCAGTGCCATAAAAACCTATGACTTTTTCGTAAATTTTTGCCTTTGTCGAACGATTTCTAACTGCTCCATTATACATACTTTGTCTCTATTCAATATTTTTTTAATTTCATAATACAGTGTGGTCAAACAATTGGATGAAAAGAAAATTGTTAAAAATGCCAAAAATCATTTTTTTCCAATGTTTTTATATCATCATATTAAGCATTATAAATAAGAATAGTTTTGTAAAACGTTGTCTACGCCGCAAATTAGTAGTTTAGGAAATAAACGTTCGGCAAAGACAAAAATATACGAAAAATTCGTCGATCTACATTTGTGATTTTTTACTCAAAACGGTTAGAGTTAGGTATACAATCTTACACATCAAATTTTAGTCTTACGTAGATTTCAAAAATTGAATATTCAGGGTATTCCATATCAAAAAAGCAAGTTGGCATCTACTTCCGGTGTAAATATTTTAGCAGAATTCCTCGCATTAGTTGTACCATAACCACAAGTTTTCATAATTGTCTAGTCATCTTTTCGAGTAATAGATGGCTGCAGTTCTACGCGGAACGCCCTGTATAATTGTATATAAGATTAAAATAACTTTAAATAGCAGGAATACACAAAATATATTTATGCCATGTTTTCCATGGAGTTTTTTTTCTACTTCCTTATATGAATATACAGTAGCGGCAAAAGTTTGGAATCATTCTTAGTAATTCTTAAAAAGTGCGCTAATTTTGTATTCTTTATTATTAAGAACTATTTTTTTCCCATATATTTTGAGTCTTGAGGATACAAATGACAATTTGTGTTTGCTGTGGTACTATAGACTAGCATTAAAATACCTTCATATTATTTTATGACCAAAAATGAGACGAGAAAAGTACGGAAACATATTTTTTATCACAAAATTAAATACAATAACTCTACAAAAAGATTTAAAAATACTGTTTAGCTAATATTTGGTAGCATAGCGTTTACCATTCAACACTGCCTGGCATCTGCTGCTCATACCAATTTTTTACAGACGGGATATTTTGTCAAATATTTTTTACCTGATCAAATAAATCGTTCCTATTTTTTAATTTTTTTGCAAGTTGTCTTTTAACATGCTCCCGGAGATGTTCTATAGGCCATGTAAGAACATAAACGTTTTCTGTCTTTATGGATCTTGAGGTATATTTGGGGTCATTATCTTGCTGGAATGTCCATCGTAAAGGACTTTCTTCTTCAGCATCTGTTTACTAAGAATATCTTTGTAAAGTTTTTGATCCATTTTCCCAACAATTTTAATAATTAGACCCATTCCCAACCTAGGAAAGCAAAAACCATGATGTTGCCTCCACCGTGCTTAGCTGTTGGCAACTGATACTTTTTAACGAATCTTTTCGCATTGGACGTCACACATACGAGGGATGTCTTTTAAGTTTTGCATATGGAAATAAAACAACACGGTAGGTGGTTTTAAATGACTTTATTGTTTTTCGAAGTATTCTCCACAAAGATTAATACACATCTGCATGCGCTCGAACCAATTTTCAAAGCACTTATTCCACTCGTTTGCTGGCAGATCCAAAACGGCATTTTTGAAGGCGTCAACTGCTTCTGGTGACTGGATCCTTAGACCACGCAGTCTGTTTTTAATTTTCGTGAAAGTAAAGAAATCGTTAGGACTTAGATCGGGACTATATGGAGGATGGTCCAATAATTCCACGTTATCTTCTGTTAAATACTGCCTTGTTTTTTGGGCTGTGTGCGAGCTTGCATTGTCTTGGTGGAGGATGATTCTTCTTTCGGGGTTGATTATTCGAAGCTCGGTGATGACTTGTGGCAACCAAATGGTGGTATACCAATCCGTAGTAACAGTTCTTTGCTCATTAAGAGGAATTGTTGCAATATGACCCGCTTTTGACACAAATGTTGCGACCATCTTTTTCGAAACACTTCGAGAACGGATGACTTTTGTTGGCTTTTCTTCATCTTGGAACACTCAAACAGCCGACTGTCGTTTATTTTCTGGTTCATAACAGTTTAATCCTGGCTGCTTTCTGCTCTTCAGTCAAAAGGTGGGGTATCCAACGAGAAACTAATTTTCTTACTCCTAATTCTTCAAGTAAATTTTTTTGAATTGAGGTCTTTGAGATCTTCAAGGACGCCTGTCTCGCGATATGTCACATGTCTATCTTCAATGATGAGTTTTCGCATAGCATCGACGTTTTCCTGGGTGACTGCCGTTTTTGGTGCACCCTGGGATCGTCACTAAGACTCGCCCGTCCACGTTTGAATTCTTCATACCAACGGGAAATTGTCGACTGATGTGGCGCTTCGTGGCCTAAATCAGACAGTAACTCAGCATGGCATTCTTGTTGCGATAATTGTCTCTGAACGTTGTAATAAATTATGGCGCTAAAATGTTCTCGGTTGAGTCCATTTTTCTAATGACTTGGTGAGACTTAAAAATTCACTGTAGTGAGAACAGTGTACGTATTGTTGTGAAACTTTGAATTTAAGTTTATTAAAGAGTGAGGGTAAGATTCAGTACCGACGTTCGATCCGCGCGGCCTACTATGTTTCTATATGCAAAACTTAAAAGACATCCCTCGTATACGCTAATTTGATTTATCTGTATCCATATTAGGAATATGCCATATGTGGTACGAATATGTGTGCGTCCACACTAACATGATTTATTAGCTTTTGTAGCACTCTGACTGACTTCTATATCACATCTGTGATCATACAGGACTAATAAATTATTATTATTATTTATATTATCTGTTCTTTCACAATTCTAATTTAGGTTGTATATAAAATACATAGTTCACATTTGTTTCCAAGTTTTTGTCCGCTACTGTATTGTCTGTACAAGCATTTCGATTTATAGCATTTATTTTTGTCAATTTATGAAGAAAATCGCTCTGTCACTTTACACCATTCTCGTATTGCTTCAATTGTGAAGGTAGGTTTGTGTCCTTGGACTGGAAATAGGAATGAAGGAAAACAATTTTTTACAACAAATATGTCTTTGATCTGAAAATCATACAAGCTTACTAGTATTTGAATAAACTTAAAACTAAAGACACAAGTGGATAAAAGTGCCATGTAACATTTTTTAAAAATTTAATCTGTTATTACTTTGTTGCAAAACCAAGAAGATTATAACCAACTAATCAAACTAAATATTTAAAATTTCAATAAAGTAAAAAGTTTCAATAAATTTTAAAGTCATTTTTTTCCATACAATGATTCTGTTACATTACACCTGTATCTACTTGTGTTTTCAATTTTAGTGTAGATTACTAGTTTACAGTTTAAATACTGTAAATGATAGTACAGCATGCTACAAACAATATAGTCAAGGGATTTTTATCAGAAGAAACTATGGTGAATTTGAAATGTCCATATTGTCACCAATGTTGTCAGATCTCTCAGGTGACTGCTGGTTATCATATGACGTTTCAGGTTCCATCTCTTTACTTGAAGCTTTATCCTTTTCGTGGCCCTTTTCCTTGTCATAACCTTTTTCCTCTTCATCATAGTTTCTAGGTACTTTGGAGTGCGATCTGAAACAAATGTTTTGTATAGATTACATACAAACGAGGTGACACGATATTTGTCACTAATGGTTTCTAGTTTCAAGTTTTGTATGAAATTCTAGGTGATTGGTGAAGATCAGCCTGTTTTACTCATCATGTTCATATTCAATTCATATACAGGGTGATTCACAAGTCGTGACCAAAAATGAAACATCATACACAGTACCGCGTTTTAAGGGGGGTCTTCTATGTAATATTTTTTTCCTCGGGGGGTTCATTAACCCTTTCACCACGGAAGATCTTGTTACGAAATATGTCTGACCTTACGGGGAAACGCCGCTTGCTGATTTATACGCTTCCCGTTCCAAATCGACATCTTATGATGCGCTGATCTATCCGCTTCCCGTTAGGATACGTCTTTGTAAATTTTATTTTATTCTAAGGCTTTACTTAAAATTAACGTGCACCAGTGGCGGAGATACAGGGGGTTAGAGGGATTAATTTTCCGAATGAAAATAGTAAGCCACTGTTTTGTTTTTTCGAAACGCGCAATTTTTAAATTTCACCTTCAATTTGCTACAAATTGTTTTTTCCTAAAGTGCATTGTTTTCGTAAAAGTAAAAATAAAACAAATTAGATCATTCATAAAGGAGCGGAGATGCAATTGGTTTCAAAATAAAATAGGAGGCCTTGATACCAACTTGACGTTTCTTGGGAGATAGTTTGTCAAAGCTATGTGTTATACGGTTTATATCGTTACTACTACCATTTTTTTAAAAGACAAGTCAAACGTCTTTTTTCCCTTTTTGAGTGTTGTGACGTGGAATTTAGCAATTATGAGTACGCCAATATTATTTTTGTTTACGGGTTCTGTAATGGAAATGCTTTAGTGGCAATATGGAATTGCCAAAGTTCCCGAAGTAAGAGGCCATAGTGTACATACTGTTCAAGAGGAACTGGAAGTGATTATATTGGCGGTGGATGATCCTACAAGTAATAGGCGGATTGCAGCACAGTTACCATGTTCCCAAAGTCTTGCGTGGAGAATTTTAAATCGGGAAGTTTTACATCCTTACCATCGGCAAAATGCATAATCAAAATGCAGATTTTATTGATTTGGTACGAGAAGTGGAACCTTTAATTCTCATAATGAACTTAGTTGGTCGTTAGATTTGAACCTCCTCCTGGATTTCTTTTTTGTGGGGCGCTTTTAAACAACTAGTGTATGCTGAACAAATTAATACTGTTGATCAGTTACAAGAAAGAATAGATAATGCGTTTCATCAAATTCAAGCGACAACAAATTTTGCGGAAATACGTTTTTCTTTATTACAAAGATGCCGCACTTATATCCGTCAGAATGGTGGTCTTTTTGAACATTTATTGAAATAAAGCTTTGATTATCTAATTTGTGTTCTTTTTATTTTTACGAAAACAATGCACTCTAGGAAAAAACAAGAGTATTTGTAGCAAATGAAGGGTGAAATTCCAAAAATTGCGCGTTTCGAAAAAAAAAAACACTGGTGTACTAGTTTTATTTGGAAACATAATGCCACAAATCTACTGTATCTCCGCCACTGGTGCACATTCATTTTAAGTAAAGACTTTTGAAGATTTGTTTTTATTTTTAAACTTCAACACCATCTTTTCAATGAAGCCCTAGAAGAAAAAATGCGGGCCTGTATATGATGTATCATTTTTGGTTACGACTTGTAAATCACCCTGTGGTGTTGATCGCTGCCAAAAAAAACCAAGATTTTCCTAATAGCCAATTTTAACGTGCGACTTATTGAATAAAACAATTTTCCTACCTTGTGGATCTAGATGACCTCGAACGAGACCGACTTCGTCTATCCTTGTCCTTTCTATCTCTGTCCTTCCTGTCCCGATCTTTGTCTTTCTTTTCCAGTTTCCTGTCTCTGCTCCTGGACCGACTGCGCTTTTTTCGAGGTGATGGGGAACGCTTTCGAGTACCCCTGGAACGCGAACGTTTGCGATCTTTCTTGCGGTCCCGAGACCTGAAAAAACAACGGTTGAGAATTAGCCACAAGTATGCTCGTGTTGTAGACACCAAGAAGCCTACAAAACAATAATACGCAGTCTGTTAAATGATGAAACTGTTTTTTTTATTTTTGTATACAAATATAATTACAATTTTATACTGTTTGGAGCGCTGGTGACGCCTGATAGCACACTGTTGCTTGAAATTGATGTCACTCATTTTTAGAACACAATACAAACTTTTACCAAAAAAATCGCTACGGACTCGAGCGGCTTCAAACTTGTACTGAAGGCAGATCACATGTTCCCCTATCCCCCTTTCAAGCCCAGCGCCTCCAGTATTGCCAGATCGAATGTTACGTTGCCAATCTCATCACTTAATTCACAGACGTCGGATTTCAAAGTATCTTTTTCAAGTATGTTGACTCATAAAAGATTACTTATAATTCCTCGCCAATTGGCGTGGGAAGTAAAAAATATGTTATTTCAAGAACCATGAACCATCAAAAATAGTATACATTGAAGATTCTGTAATAACCTATTTACCTTGATCTGCGATGGCTTCTGCTTCTCGATCTGTATATCTTCCTGTCCTTTTCCGTATCAAAGCTGCTCTCCTTGTCACTGCGTTTTTCCTTTGACTCTCTACCTTTATCTCTCACTTTTTCTTTGGATTCGCGATCCCTGGACGACTTTCTGTCTCTATCCTTGCTTCGTTTTCTATCTTTAGAGCGATCTCTGGATTTTCTATCTCTTGACTTACCTCTAGACCGGCTACGGTGCCGACTAGTACGTCTTCTTGATCTGTAAAAAAAAGTTACCCATAGTTACGAAAACTTACGACCATTTCAAAAGTAGATACAAGTGTATTTCAACCTCGGGTAAGAAACGTTGTACAAACTATAAAAATTCACCGACTCACTTGCTTGTTGATCTTGATCTACGTCTTGACCTTGATCTTTTCCTCGAAGAGGATCGCCTCCTTGATCTTGACTTTGATCTGTGTTTGCGATCGCGAGACTTGGATCTTCTCTTAGGAGATGGTGACCTGCGTCTTCTAGATCTTGATCTTCTCCTAGATCTTGATCTTGACCGGGATCTCCTTCTTCTACCCCTTGATCTAGACCGCGATCTTCTTGAGGTTCGTTTGTCCTTGTTTGTAAAGAAATTAACCAAAATTAGTCTTGTGTGGAACAGATAAAAAAAAGAATGGTTTTATCAAAGGTGGTTACATATGCGTTTGTTATAATAAGCAATTCTATCAAAGTGTCAAAACCAGAAAAAAACACTGTCCAAAACAATGATGAAACAAACATTTTGATTGAAAGAGATTTAAAAAAATCTTACCTTGGTCAACATGCCAATAACAGGTTCTATAGAAGCAGTAATCATATTTTGTGCCTCTTTAAATCTTGACATAGCTTCTTCGATCTCCTTTTGTGCATCTTCATTGCTTTTAGCTTGAGGCTTCACAATAGGCTGTGTTGCATGCTGTATTTCAATTGATTTACCATTTAGCTCAGTACCATTCAGTTTTAGAGCATTTATGACACTTGTTTGATCTGCAAAATGCAGTTTATTAGATAAATCTATATATTTCAAGTACAATGTCGCTATAGAATATGATCATCAAAAACCTCGTAACTGGAAAAAAATGGTACTATTAGGGCCTCCTAATATTAAAGAACTGGCTTCATATTTGTCACCTAAATGGCCGATTTACCTAAAAACGGATTTTGGCAGAGAACTCGAAAATTTGATTTCTGCTTTCTTGTTATTACAAACTCGGTGCACCAGGATAATTTGGGATACTGGTATCAAAAATATAAATAAAATGTCGCAAAACCATATTTAACGTAGGGCTTCCTGTTGATCCCATCTAAAAATCATGGTCGGCGCAACCGTTCTCGGTGGAGATTGCAGATATACAGTAATGGACAAAAGTATATAGACAAATTAATATTGTGCTGTATTTCTTGTTTAACTTGTTTTATTAACACACCAACCTGTATACATAGTTCGTTATAGCATAATACTCACTTATACATAAATAAATTCATTAGACTCCCTTCAATAAAAAATTAATTGAAAACAACTGGAACTATGAAGGACAAAAATATATAGACAAAGCAAAACAATTATAGAAAAAAGAAGCAAAGTTCATTGAATTATAGAAAACCAACCTTGTTTGTGTTAATATTTTGTAGCATTACCATTATTATCAATCACCGCCTGGCATCGTCTCGGCATAGATTGTAGAAGTTTCTTGATATAAGATTCCTCAATCTGTCTCCACTTTTGGTCTAAAGCGGCAAACAGTTCATCCCTGTTTGAATGATTTTTATCTCGTATTTGCTTATCTAAGTATTCCCACAGATTTTCAATGGGGTTTATATCGGGAGACTGTGAAGGCCATTTGAGAACTGGTATTTTTTCATCCAAAGAATTTCTTTGCGAGATTTGAAGTGTGCTTCGGGTCATTATCTTGCTGGAAGATTGATCTTAAGGGCATATTGTCTTCCACATGACATGCTTTAGTATATCTGTGTATACAAACATATCCATAATGCATCTATTCTATGTAAAGGTCTCATCCCAAACCCCGAAAAGCACCCCTAAACCATAACAGACATGCCTCCATGTTTGACAGTGCGCAAATTGTACTGGGGGTTCAATCTTTGTCCACTAGGACGTCTATCGTAATGAACACCATCTGATCCAAACATATTGAACTTGGATTCGTCACTGAAACATATAGAACTTGGTCCTTACGGTTTTTCCTCGAGATTAGCGGCTTCTTACTCGGGCGACGTGCAAATAACTTCAAATCATTTAATCTTCTACTTATAGTTTTCGTAGAAACACTGGCAATTCCTTTAGTTTCGCTTTCGGTTTTTATTTGCCTTGGGGTTTTAAAAGGTTCTTTGGACGAAATTACTTTTATTAATCTAACTGATCTAAAATTCATTTTTCTAGGCCGACCACTTCTCTTAGAGGCTTCCAAGATACCTTTTTGTTTATATTTGTTCAATATTGCCCAAACTGCTTTACGTTTCAGCTTCAATTTTTTGGCAATGTCGACTTGACGTTGATCATCTTTGTATAACTCCATGATCTTAGTTTTCACATCAAAAGAAATTTCTGGACCACGCGGCAAGGTCTTAAAATCACTCAATTTATTCCACAATACTTGATGAACACAAACTAATCCTCTTCTGACACGAAACGGTACTAAACTAATGTTGAAAATAATTTGTCTATTTGTTCATTGCAGAGAATGTAAAAACAAGGAATTTAGTTTTTCTACTAATAACGCATTTGTTTGTGGAGCAATGAAGTAGGAATTCGTTTTCTAAAGGTATTTAGGTAAATAGTCATATTTGTCTATTTTGTGCATTACTGTATATGTTTTCAAGAATTTTGTTAGAGCTGCATTAAGTTCCTCAGTGGAGAATTTCAATTTTCAACTCCTGTTTTTACAAGCAAAAAAGGTCAAAAAATACTAAAATGACGCCAATCCGCATGTAAAGTAGTGAAATTGGACTTTGCAGTTTAACATTGATCATATACAATTTATCTAAGAAATTTCTTTTGATCAATATTACAGGGATGCTGACGACCCACTTTTTTCCAGCCATCCATAAACGCTTTCAAGGGAGCTGTCCTCCTTCTCTCAAGCCCCATGCAATTAATAGACGTGATTTTTTTATATGTGTTACATGAGAAATTACTAGGATCTACCTTGTATTTTCATTCAGCTTTGGTAAGGGTGTAAGGTATATTAACGTGCAAGATATAGCCTCTCATACACAACTGCCAACCTCACCTTCTCGGTGATGCAGCTGGTCTAGGGACACTGACCCGAACAAGACACCATGACCCCAACAGGCCACTTTAGGTCTATTTAGCATCATTAACACGCAATAAGAAGGTGGTAGACAAAAACCAGTCGACCGAGGCGGTACCATCCGCTAGCTTTTCCCAGGGTGTCTTATAAATGTCCGCATGTTTCCACATCTAAGCTACCCAGTCGGTAATCTTCGAGTACTAAGAATTCCGGACGTAAACTCACTCCACTCTCGGAATGTCTGGGTGGAGGGTGGACTCAAAGGAACAACATTGAAGATGAAATTTGTTTCACAAACATCTGCGGGATTAACAGCAATATTGATGCTGTTTATCAGTACCTGCAATCCAATCGTTCGCCATGCATTTCTTGGTGGAGACAAAAATCACAGAGTCTGCACCTATTAACCATCTTAGTTTCCCAAATTACGAGGTGCACTCGAATCTGAGAAAAAACGAGGGAGTTGTGGCTCTTGTCCACAGCAGTATTTCGTGCTTCATCTAAAACATACTTTATGGATATAAGTACATTGCCTGCATTTACAAGAATTTGTAATATTTTTTATGTTTCTTTTATGTATCATATGTATATGATATTGAAATATGCCTACATATGAATAATTTTTAACAAAGACCTTATATGAGTTATTCTCGTTTTTTTCACGCATTCTTATTTATATTATCTATTTACATTTGGCATTATGGTATTCAATTTCTCAGAATCTCACTTAAATTCATGCTTTGGGCTGCCAGTACCCCTGACATTATCGATAGCAGGGATTTTTGAATATTTTCATCACTACTACATCTTTCAACTTTACTGTCAAGTATAAATGAATTTACTACTAGGTTTCTTAGCATATAAATATTCTGGAGGTCACTTTTTGAAATGAGAGAAAAGAACAACTGAGAGAAAGTAGGTTTGGTTTTCTTGCCTTTCACCAAATTATCCTCAGGAGAAAAAGTGCGGAAGTCTCATATCTACCGATGGAGTTAACCTTGTGATCGAATGTTTAATGATATGAAAAAACCAGGAACATATTATTCTGTCAACAAGGAATACACTTGGATACATCTGTCAGAGTTTGATATCATTCCCCAGTTTCTTTCAGTGATGCTACTCTCTCATTTTCAAGAATAAGGGTCCTGGTGAGAATGTTAATTAAATATTACTAATCAGAAATATTCTTGCAAATTTATACTTCTGAATACCAATTCACAACTCCAACAGCCAAACTGTGACTACCATTAGTCAGTTATTAAAACATGTGTAACATATATTTAATTGCATTTAGATTAAAAATACTAGAGCTAATTACCTGTGAACTCGACTAGCATATGAGTTGCTTCAGACTCATCAGCCCCCTTTTTACATGTTCTCAAATATTTAACCTCACCAGCTTTACTGAAAAATTCAATAAAATCATCATTGGACCATGAGGGATCTACATTTAAAATCAAAACAGTTCTTCTAGTTTCTTCAATCTTAGCTCCGTCATATGTGGAAGGCAATGGGGGATAAGGAGGTAATTCTTCTTGTTCCAACTTTAAATCTTTGGTCATGATACATTGTTCAGTTGTACCAATGCCATATGTCACATTTTGCACATGAGGGGGTAACTTTGGGTCACCTAAAATATTGACACAGTTAGATTAAGGGAGCCGAGCACCAACTAAGGGGATTCGAAAACAACTTTGTAGATAAATTATTGCTTACTGTAGCTCAGTTGAAATTGCTAAGTACTGCGACAATTGCTAAAGTATTAGGCTTGTATAACTTACCCATGGTCAATCCAGGCACGACAGTACCATTTTTGGTCATTTCTAATGCATAGTATTCATCTGGAATGTCCCCATTTGATACAGGTATAACTATCAGTGCCCTATCAATGAAGACTGTATTGGTCATATGTTGGGCTATACCAACAGTAGAAGTATCTGTGAACTTGATATAGCATATTCTAGATTGCACTGGGCAAGAAACGTCTCTAATAGTGGGGTATAAACGAATATCTTCGATCTTACCAAGAAAGCCGAAAAGCGTGTGCATTTGATCCTTGGTCGCCTGGGGTGCTATGTTGGTGACCTGCACCACTTTCGTACTTCCTACAGCCATGGTTGAAGCTGAAAGTGATTAAAAATCACATTTAAACGGCTTTAAAATAAGAAATATTTGTGTGCGTGTACACAACAAGCGCAAACATAACCACACTTATGAGCACAGACCGAAGAATAAGAGGAGCACAAAATATAAAATAATAGGGAAATAACGCTTACTCAGTCACGGATGCAGTGTTCTGTGCACAGTTGCAAAAATGCACATTAGATTAGACAGTTTCGTAACCGATAGAAATGTGAACTAGAGTGTCATATTAAAAGCAAGTCTACACCATATAAATATTTTTCGTTTACCATTTTCTCTTCTACGTGACGTGAATATATGTGTGTAAATAAGTAGATTCCTTAGTAAAACCATTTTATTGATTTATCATATTTTTTTATTCTCTCAAATTGAGAGTCTGATGTGGGTGGGAAAATGCTCAACGACGATCCATATGTTTGAGCTTAGTTCTAGGACAGTAAATTGTCCATGTTAATTTTAGAAGTAGAGAATGACGGTTCTTACAGATGATGTCAAATTGTTATGTCATTTTAAAAATATATAACCAAAACAGAATAAATTCAAATTTAAAACTAAATATTTTTTCTTTACCTGATTGTGGTATTGCATCATATATCATCCAACCTTTTAGTACATCATGTTAGGAGCCAAATTTGGGAAATGGGTAAACGATAATATTGTGTTCTTAGTAGGAATACCATTGATCATAGGAGTTCATTATGGATGGTCTAAACTTCAACAAAATCCGAATTTGGTGCCACCAGATCGACAGAAGAAAGAACCTGTACTGGAAGTATGTTTTTAGTTTGTATTTGATTTAAAAAACTAGTCTATTGTAGTGGAGATTTATGCATTGTCTCTAAACTGTATACCTCAAGACATAATAGTTGAATCTAACATTATTTCGTGCGGTATCTTCTGGAGACAGCTGGGAAGTGGTCTCCTTCCATTTCACACAATCATCTAAATCTTGAATATAAATCCACTGTTACTCCCTCTGACAGTGAAAACATTTATAATAGCAAAGTTTATAACTGTTGCTGTTTTCAAATCGTGTAATAGCAGTCAGCTTTCTATATTAAATTTGTCTTTTGCTCATTTATCTTAATTTATAATTAACCTTATGTCGATCATATGATTCTGTGACGTATGTGATGATTCACATGAGATCATTCGAATGATGAGTTCATCTTGTAGATATAGATGATATATTCAAAACACTGATAATATTGTGCTTGTATTTCAGATATACAGAAATTTCAAAAATATATTACTTGGAGAGAGAGCACCAGCAGTATCAGTTAAAAAATAAATTTATAGTCCCTGATATTATGTATATATGTTATTTTAGTAGATATTGGCTAATTATAATTAGTCTGTTTGTTTCTTTAAAATTCAATAAAAATACTGTTTGTTGACAAGCAATTTCTGTCCAACCATACCAACATAATCTATTAATATACCAGGTCAAATTAAGTCTAAATAATTTGGCTCAACATGTTGCACTTTTTCTACTTTCACTCATAGATGTATCCTCAAACAAATGGAATACTTTATTTTGTAAAAAATTAGTGAACAACACGTTTCAATATAATGGCGGATTTCCACCAAACAGACAAAACAGCAACAAAACAGAAACTCGTGTTTATCTCAACAAAACTGCAACTTTTCACCAACATTTTGTAGACAGGAGTCGCCGGCAACTGTTTTTGTTGAGTTTTTGTTGTGTTTTCGAAGTCCCGGTCGAAGGCGGTAACTTCAAAGGGTTTTCGCGCAACTAGCAACACAGTTGGTTTAGTGGAAACAGCTTGCGACGCGTCTCTGTTTTGTTGTAGTCTGTTGTAGTGTGTTGCAGTGTGCGCAGTTTGAATTTATTTGTGCTATTGAATACCTAGCAGTTAATTGCAGGATATGACTGAAGAAAAGAAAAAGTGGACCACAGAAGAAGTGGGAAATTTAATAGAAACTTATCGCGATTGTCCAAATTTATGGAACCCCACAAACCTGGAGTATAAAAATCGAGTGAAAAAAATGGACACTTACAAACAAATAGCTCATGTATTTAAAACAACTCCACATGAAATAGAGAGGAAAATAAAAAACTTAATTACCCAGTACCAACGGGAAAGGCGCAGTTACAAAAAAATGAAAAAATCAGGAGCCGGTCATGTTTTCAAGGCAAAATGGTTTGGTTATAGTGCCATGAGCTTCCTTCACGACAAAAACAAACCTAGGAAAGGAACACAGATTGGCGTAGAATTGGAGGTGAGTAGGTATTTTGTTTTTTTTGTGTTTATTTAAAACTCTAGCATTTTAAGAAAATTTACAACAAATAATTAAGCATACTGTGATTGCCATGGTACTTGTCCTAAGTCCGATATGAAATATTCGCTGAATTCGTCTCTAATTTCTCGGGCTTCTTGAATTGGTTTCCTTGCTATTCGTCTTATAGGCAAAAGTGAGTGACATGGTTCCGGATCATTTCTCCACAATCCTCCACTTACAGTACCAGAATCTAAGTGTTCGAAATCAAAGGAGCCTGGCGGTGTATATCTATCTTTCGATTCCACATCTCTACGTAAATAATTGTGCAGCAAAACACATGTTTGAACAACTTTCTCCACTTTGTCCGGCTCTAGTAACATAGGCTTGCGAAGGACCCGAAAAACAGATGCTAGTATTCCGAATACGTTCTCGACGACTCTTCGAGCTCTACTTAGACGGTAATTAAAAATTCGTTGTCTTGACCCACGTTCTTGGTGCCCAGCATACGGCTTCATTATATTTTGTGACAAGGGGAATGCATCGTCTGCTAGTAAGACGTATGGTACCAGTTTTTCTCTTCCAGAAAGTGCCGCCTTTTGTGGCAGATTGAGCATATCTCTTTCCAATGCTTTGGCAAATCCAGTATTTTTGAAAACTCCTCCGTCTGATATTCGGCCCTGGCACCCAACGTAAACAAAAATAAAATTGTAACTGGCATCGACTATGGCAAACAATACAATACTAAAAGTCCCTTTATAATTGAAGAATTCACTTCCACTGTATTTTGGGGATTCTATGATTACATGTTTTCCATCCATACTGCCTATACACATCGGGAAGTTCCACATTGTATTATATCCATTTGCAACTTTTTTTCAATCCTCTGGATTTGCGGGAACCTTAAAACAAAAAAATTCAGGACCATGATCAAATGTAAGAAGGAAGAATCCCGAAAGGACACGATATCTGATTTCTTGATATTGGATTTCAAACAACTGATATTATTCCTAAAATAATCTTCATTTTAAACTATACAACCCACATTTTATGAAATTCAGCCAATTCAATGCGCACTCTATAATTACAGGGAAGTGATTCGTCAGATGAAGGTGATGAAGAAACCCAGTCTGATATGCAAAGCACAACCGAAGCAACGAATGAGTATGAAAGTGAAAGCGAAGTTTCAGAATGTCAGTTAACTGAGGAAATAGGCACACCTGCAGCAAATACAAGGGAAGAGCCTAAAATCGCTGCTGCAGCGTCAGTTAACAAAAATGTTTCAGTTGAGAATACAGAAAGTGCAGAATATTTTCAGAAACAAGCTTCCCAGAAACCACATGTTTTTAGTACTCCAAAAATTGGCTCAAGAAAGAAAAAACGTGTTGAGTCTGATGACAAAAATGAGACTACGGAGGTCTTTCAGATGATGAAGTCAGTATTTGAGAACAGGCAAGTAACTACATCAAGGCGCGACGAATACGACGTGTTTGGGGAAATGGTGGCCTGCAATATCAGACATCTGCAAACTGAACATGCTAGAGTTACTGTGCAACACAAAATAAATAACCTACTATATGAGGCTCGAATCGGTTATTACAATTATCCAGAAACCATGCGAGTCGTCGTGCCATCACCTTCACCTAACAGCAGTCACACTGTATCATCTGACACCCAGTCGGCAATGACGGAGACGGAAGTACAACAAACTTGGAGTGATGACGTTTTACAAGTTGCCATTGCATCATCCTTTGGGCTGAATACAAATCATGACGATAATACAAATCAGGACATGTTTCCAAAGAATTAACCTTAAGTTACTGTACGTACTATTTGTCAAAATATATTTTCGTTGCAGTATCCTATATACAGTGTGGCCTTACCTTTATATTATCCTTTAGACCTTCGCATAGGGCACTGCAAACTTCGGGCACAATTCGTGAAATTGATGATGCAGATGCTTTACATAAATACATCAAACTTTGATAGCTGTCCCCCGTAGCAAGGAATCTTAGTGTTATAGCTAAACGGTCTTTTACGGATATAGCGTCTCTGTAATTTGTGTTTTGTTTGCGAATCTTTGCGCCGATCAGAGTTATCAGGTTTTCAAAATCAGTGCTGGACATTCTCACAAAATTATGAAACGATGATCGCAACTCGCCATGCAATCCAAAATCATCCGTTTTCAACTGAGTAAGCATTTCTGCCGCGCCATTATTTTCTCTTGTAGTCAACAGCGATCTCACCCAGTACCTGTGCTGTCGACGCTTTTTCCTTTTCTTTGCTTTAGAATGCAATATAAACCATCCACATAACATGATGAAAAGATCATCTTCATGCCACATGATCAACACAAAATACTGTCTGCCTAGTGGAAAGGAGTGACAACTTACACACAACTAGGACTGTAGTCGAGTCTGTTCAGTTGCAACAGCGTTTCTGATTTGGTTCTGTTTTGTTGCTGTTTTGTGTTGTCTGTCGGAGTTTTCATATTCGGAAACAAAACAGCAACTCGACGAGTCGGTTTGGTGGAAATCCGCCATAATATACCCTACAAATAGTTACTTGACAGAACAAAAAAACATTCACATTCTTTGTTTTTCGCAGTTGTCAATTGAGCATCATTGACTGCAATCATGTTTGACATATTTAGCACAAAAAAATTGCTAGAGGTAGCTACTGCTATACAAGAGAAAATTGGACAAACGCAGGTATATTTTTCACTTAGCATAATATTTTATCAATTTACAGAGAACATTTTGAAATGTGGCTTAATTGTGGGATAACTCTTTGTCGGACTGACCTTTTATCTGCAATGTTGCAGAAGATTCCTATTAATAAAATTATCAATTTACTTGTCCATCTATGCTTGCATAATAAATTGTAGCCTGTATTGGACTATAAATTTTTTTTAAACTCTGCTTGTAGTTGTTTGCTCAGATATGCCTCAGCGAATTGAAATCTCACTTCACAGTCACACCTCCAAACAATATGAGAGCTTCTAAAGACAAAAGTTCTGGAAAGGCAAAATATTTTGTAATATTCATGTGGTATTATAAGAGTTAAATAGTGGAGGTTAAGGATTTTTTCCTGGCTATTTACTGGAGACCTTGAGCACGACATTGAATGTCGTATAAAAGTTCAGACGATTTTCTTAAATAGGACCTAGTGTCTAAAAGTAAAATTTTAGGCTCTATTTATTCCCAGACCAAACATATAGGGTACGGTGAAAAAATTGTCAAGATCAGGGAAACCAAAGCCCCTGCAGTCTTTGAGCCTTTATTTTTGCATCACCTCTAGAATCAGCCCTGAAAATTTGTCAAATGATGGCTTTTACGGTGACCTTGGCAAGGACGTTCACACCAGGCCGTAGCTAAACGAGAAAATTTCGTAGTATTTTCGCGGCCAAAAGTACCAAAAGATCATGGTAAATCTCAGTTTCAAGGTCATAAGCGAATAATCTGATTTTTTTTCAGCCGACGGTTTTTCACGATGACTGACCAGAGCGTTCAAGGTCCAATTAAAAAGTATAGGACCTCATTTAGGAAAATTGCCTTCATCTTGATTGGACCTTCAAGATCAAATACAAGGTCACAACTGAATATCCAAAGGAAAATCCCGAACCTCTATAATTTTACTTTTACCATACTCCTTGAATATTCCCAAATATCTAGCCGTTCCGCGATAGCGAAATAACGATACAAATTATCACTGCCTACGTGTACGCAGGTGAAAACCATTTCGAAGTAGGACGACACTCTTCAATAAGTGCTAGATGGGACTGACCAAAATCGCTCATATATGATCATGGAGGTGGAAACCTTGCCCTGAAATGTACGAGTTGTGTTGCCAAGCGAACCAATGATGCAATGTTGCAGAATTTGTGGCGATCCTGACCTTTCATTTCGACCCAAAACGGAGTGCCG